CCATGTTGCCCAGGCTGGTCGCGAACTCCTGAGCTCAAGCAATTCTCCCTCCTTGGCCTCACCAAAGTGCTGGGACTGCAGGCATAAGCCACTGAGCCCAGCCAGGCTTTTTCTGATTCTGTGCCTTATTCTATAAATTCCTCTGCTTCTAAGCCTCACAGCTTCCAGCTGTCTTTGATATCAGATCCAAATTCTTCTGGTTCTATAATTCAGCCTCCAAATGCTTCTGATTATGGAATCTAGACTTTTCCCTAAAGATTCCTCTGGTTCTGAATCTTATAACCTTAACTCTCTAATTCCAGACCCTACCCTCCTAAATCTATTCTGGGCTTCCCACCCCACTGCACTTACCCCAATTCCTTCCTTCAGTCTTAAGTCTTCCCATTCTAGACCCCTACCCTCTAGGCTGTGCTGCTCCTGGACTTCATGCCTCTCCATTCTCATTGCCTACAATCTCTGTGCCCCAGAACCGCCTCCACTTCCCACCCCAGCCCTCCAGACATGCACTTACCTTGACTTTACCCCACATGTTTGGGGCACCTGGGGCTCCCTCACCCCTTGGGTGGTTTGCAGTCCGAAGACTTCTCCAGCCGCACAGGCACACGCACAGGCACGGCACTGTCTGCATATTGCCGGGTGGGGAGAGAGGCCAGGACCCCTCAGCTCTCTGCCACCATCTATGTGCCTCCCTTACCCCCCAGCTTTCTTTCTGCAAATGGTGCTACTCTTGGTTTCCCACAGGAAAAGGCCTCCCCCTTCTTAGCCCCATTTACCACCTTTGTGGAAGGCACTGCTTGCTCTGTTTCATCAGGGGGTGGCCTATCCAGATTGGTGCTATGGGGGGGTGTGACCCCTACCTCCTCCCTCTGGAGGTGATGTGGATCCTCAATGGAGGGAATTGTGCTGGGCTAGGGAAAGGGGAGGGACTAGACCGGACACACTGGCTCTGAAACTCACCAATCTCTATACCACCATAAAGACCTCACCTTGGTAGGCACCAGAACTCTGTGTGTTGACTCATCTTTTGGATCTCCTCTGGGAGTGTGGGTGCACTGGTGGCTGAGTGTCTTTTTTTTTTTTCCTTCCTTCCGTTCTCTCTCTTTCTTTTCTTTCTTTTTTTTCTCTTGGAGTCTCACTCTGTTGCCCAGGCTGGAGTACAGTGACACATTCTCTGCTCACTGCAACCTCCACCACCCAGGTTCAAGCAATTCTCCTGCTTCAGTCTCCCAAGTAGCTGGGATTTTAGGCGTGCACCACCACACCAAGCTATTTTTTTTTTTTTTTTTGGAGATAGAGTCTGGCTTTGTCACCCAGGCTGGAGTGCAGTGGTGCGATCTTGGCTTACTGCAAGCTCCGCCTTCTGGGTGCACACCATTCTCCTGCCTGAGCCTCCCGAGTAGCAGGGACTACAGGCACCCACCACTGCACCCAGCTAATTTTTTGTATTTTTAGTAGAGACAGGGTTTCACCATGGTCTCAATCTCCTGACCTGGTGATCCGCCAGCCTTGGCCTCCCAAAGTGCTGGGATTACAGGCATGAGCCACTGTGCCTGGCCCTAACTTTTGTATTTTTAGTAGAGACAGGGTTTCACCACGTTGGTCAGGCTGGTCTGGAACACCTGAATTCAGGTGATCAGGTGATCTGCCTGCCTCGGCCTCCCAAAGTGCTGGGATTACAGGCATGAGCCACCATGCCCAGCCCTTTCTTTCTTTTGAGACAGGGTCTCACTATCTCACCCAGGCTGGAGTGCAGTGGTGTGATCATAGCTCACTGCAGCCTCCTGGGCTCAAGCAATCCTCCCATCTCACCCTTCCCGGTAGCTGGGACTACAGGTGCATGACACCAGGCCCAGCTAATTATTTTCATTTTTTTTGTAGAGACAGAGCCTTACCATGTTGCCCAGGCTGGTCGCAAACTCCTGGGCTCAAGTGATCCTCCTGCTTCAGCCTCCCAAAGTTCTAGGATTATAGGCTTGAGCCACCATGCCAGCCCCATGTCACTTTCTGATTCTGTGTATCTGTGTGTGTGTGTGCATGCACGAGTGTGTGCACATTGTCATTCTGTGTATGTGTATGGGTCTTTGTGACATTCTGTGAACCTGTGTTGTGGGTTGTGGGGGAGTTGTGATTCCTTCTACAAGTGCATATTACTGTCTGGGTGAAATGATTCTGCCTTATGTGTATTTCTGGTTACTTTGGGTTTCTGTGTTTCTCAGTGTGGAAGGTGCTGTTTTTTGTTTTGTTTTGTTTTTAACCTGTGTATGTCTGTGTGATGTGATTCTGCATACATGTGTGGGACTGCTTGATGCTGTAATTCTGGGTACCAATGTGTGTCTGTGTGACATGATTCCCCATAGTTAAATGAGCATGTGTGTGCAAGAGTGTGTGTCCGTGGACTCATGTGCAGGTGGGTGCCTCTGTTGTCATGTATGTCACTCTTATAACCCCCCATACAGGGTTGCACATAGGAATCTCTTCAAGGGAAGAAAAACACTCTCAAACCTTTGCACTTCCTGTTCCTTCTGCCTGAAATGCCTCTCTCTCTTCCCCTCCTCCCCTCACTTGGTTATCTCCTACTCATATTTCACATCTTGGTTTAGGTACCAGCTACTCCAGGAAGCTTTCCCTGCCTGCTCCAATTGGGTAAAGTGCCCCTAAAAGCTCACCTCGGAAGCCTCCTCCCATCACAGCACTAGGCACTCTGCCCGACTCTGAGTATTGTTTGGTTTTGTTTGTTTGTTTGTTTTTTGAGACAGAGTCTCACTCTGTGGCCCAGACTGGAGTGCAGTGGCATAATCTCGGCTCACTGCAACCTTTGCCTCCCAGGTTCAAGCAATTCTCCTGCCTCAACCTCCCTAATAACTGGGACTATAGGTGTGCGCCATCATGCCCAGCTAAATTTTTGTGTTTTTGGTAGAGACGGGGTTTTGCCATGTTGGCCAGGCTGGTCTTGAATGCCTGACCTCAAGTGATCTGCCTGCCTCGGCCTCCCGAAGTGCTTCGATTACAGGCATAAGCCACAATACCCAGCCTACTTTGAGTATTTGTGATGGAGTGAATATGAAAGCACGACTCTGTGTCAGGCTCCCTGCCAAATGCTGTACTCGTGTTACCAAACTCTCCTCTAACCCTGTGTGATGGGGATAATTATTATCCCTGCTTTACAGAGGTTGGAACTGAGGCTTAGAAGAGGGTGATCACTTGCCCAAGGTCACAGAGTCAGGAAAGGATTCTGCTGGACTCAAACCCAAAATTCAAATCCATTATGGCAGCCTCCTTTTCCCCCAGCCCCCAAACAAACAATACGAACAAAGAACACAAAAGCAACATTTACTAAGCCACCAAGATGGGCTCTGGCACCTACAGAGGCAGTAGAGTGGCAATGAAGGACACAGGAAGTAGATAGGATTCCTGATCCTGGCTCTGTCACCTTCTTATGTTGTTGTGACCTTGGTCAAACACCTCTGCAAGTCTGTGTCTTTATCTGTAAAATGGGGATGATACTAATATCTGCCCTTTAGGGTGATTGTTGGTTGTGCTGGGGGCCAGTGGGAGAGATGGGGATGGGCTAACAAGAGGTTTGGGAGTGGAATAGATAGGTTTGGGAGTGTGCTTCCAGGAGGGTAACCAGAGCCTTACAGGACTTAGTGCTACATGAGGGCTTAGAAAGGACAGACTGGAAGGGTGTACGGCAGATGGGGGTTGGGGAAGGGGTGGAATCTGGAGATTAGACTATTCAGCCTGAGGTTAGACTATTCGGGGTCTCCTAATCAGGAGTTTGGGTTTTCTCCTAAGGGTGCTGGGGCCATGGAAGGCTGGGAGTGAGGGTGTGCCATGGTTTTATCATTGTCTTAGAAAGATCCCTCGGCCAGGTGCAGTGGCTCACTCTTGTAATCCCAGCACTTTGAGAGGCCGAGGTGGGCAGATAGCTTGAAGTCGGCAGTTCGAGGCCAGCCTGGCCAACGTGGTGAAACCCCGTTTCTACTAAAATACAAAAATTAACCGGGCGTGGTGGCAGGCACCTGTAATCCTACTCGGGAGGCTGAGGCAGGAGAATCGCTTGAACCCCGGGAGGCAGAGGTTGCAGTGCGCCTAGATTGCGCCACTGCACTCCAGCCTGGTCGACAGAGGGAGACTCCCTCTCAAAACAAAACAAAATAAAACAAAACCAAACCTCTAGCTGCCATGTGAAGGGTAAATGAGGGAGGCAGAGTGCATGCAATCAACGCTGTGATCTCAGACAAGAGAATCTGTAAAAAGGCAAACAGGAGAGTTTATTTGAAGATTCAGGATTTGGGAAGCTGAACACAGGAGGAAAGGGGATGGTGCAACACACTTCTGAGCCTTGCTCAGGACTTGAAATCCAGAGTGCCTTCATTTAAAAACTCAGAAACACCCTCAGGGTTGGACCTTTTTTGGCTTGAGAAGCCACCCATTTTCCAGAGATGGGTAACTGAGGCCCTAGAGAGGAAGGGAAGATTTGTTCAAGGTCACACAGGTAGCTGACAATAGGGCTCGACGCCCGGGTCCGGCTCCGCGTAGGGCATGGCGCTGCCTTGCAAAGCAGCCACACCCGCCAGCGACATTCACAACCCACCCCCTAACCCTAGCGGACAGCAGGGAAATCCCACTTTAAGAACCGAGAAACTTTTTACAGCCTTGGAACACGGTAACTCTGGGAGCAGAGGCCACACCAGCTCTGTTTCCCCGCACGCCCCTTCTCTCATTCCCTATTGGCTATCTCTACCAAGGGTACCGTCCGGGGACCCTCTGGTCACCTTGTCCTCCGCGCGCTCTATGGCGAGAGGGACCTGCGCAGGCGCGTGAAGGGCCCCTTCAGGGCCCGCGCTTTACGACACTTGTGCGGCAGCGGCGGCGGCCACCCGGCGCTCCTTCGCGACGGTTCGGCCGGGTGCCGCTGGCGGCCGTTGCCAGGGTAGGGGTCGCTTTGCGGCATGGCGATGGCGGAGGGCGAGCGGACTGAGTGTGCTGAGCCCCCCCGGGACGAACACCCGGCTGATGGCGCTCTGAAGCGGGCAGAGGAGCTCAAGACTCAGGCCAATGACTACTTCAAAGGTGCGCCCGCCTAGCAGGGAGGGTGGACAGCGGCTCAGGCCGAGGGGTGCCGGGCCCGCGCGGAACCATGGCAACGCGGAGCTGCAGCCTGGGCGCGGGGCAGGCACTACCAAGTGACTGGGCGTGGGGAGGCCCAGGATGGCGCTACCAAGGGGCGACATAGGGGGCTTCGGAGAGTGATACCTAGGAGTGGCGTGCGGAGCGGGTGCTACTCAGTGGAGAGACTGAGGAGGGCGCCACCAATTGTGGGGCGAGAGGGGGACTGGAATGAGGGCGCTACCAAACGTGAGGCCTGTAGAGGGCGCTACCAGGCAGTGACATGTGGTGGGGGAGTGAGTGATGGCGCTACCAAATGGGGAGTCCTGGGGTGGGTGCCGCCAAGTGGGGAGTAGAGGAGGGACAGTCCCAATAGAGGCGGCAATCGTGGGGGTGGGGAATGGATCATTAGATGGGGGGAACAAGGAAGTAGGAGATTTGGGCTGACCCGAGGAAACGGAATGTGATGGTCGGGGTCTTGGGAGTAGGGGTGGGGATCCCCAAGAATAGTATCACTTAGAATATTGAGAAAGAGTCAAGTGTGGGGCACCCATTCATTCATTAATTCAACAAATATTTATTGAGTACCTGTTGTGTGCCAAGGACTGTGCTTGACTCTAAGGATATAGCAGTGAAGGAGAGAGATGTGGTCCTGTCCTTAGCTTGTAATTTTGCAGGTGAACCAGACGTGAAAAAGAAAAAAAAAAAAAAAACATGTAAATAAGTAAAATACTTAAATTGTGATGAGTGCTTTGAAAGCAAACCAACAGCGTGATGAAGTAGAGAATAAGGGTTGGAGGCTACTTTAGATAGGGTAGTGGGGGAAGGCCTTACTGAGCAGGAAGCATTTAAGCTGAAACTCACAGAGGAAGAACTGGAGAGGAGTGTTCC